TATCTCATTGTGGTTTTGATTTGCATTTCCCTAATAGCTAAAGATGTTGAGCATCTTTTCATATATTTGTTGGCCATTTGTATGTCTTCTTGGGAGAAGTGTCTGTTCAGGCCCTCTACCTATTTTTGGATTAGATCGTTTGTATAACTCACAAATTTTAAGTGTGCAATTCAATAAGCTTTGACAAATGGATATAGTCAGGTAACCCCCACTACAATCATGATTTAGAACACTTCAATTACCTCTAAAAGTTTACTGTGTCTCTTTACAGTCACTCCTTCTTCACCCTTGTGGCCTTTGGAAAAGTCTGACCTGATTTCTATCACTATAGTTTTGCCTTTTCTAAAATTTCATATAAATGGAATCATACAGCATGTAGTCTTTTGTGTGTGTCTTCTTTCATTACTCACAATGCTTTGGAGATTTATTCATGTTGTTATATACATCAAATTGTTCCATTTTCGTGCTCAGTAATATTTGGTTATAGAGATATATTATAATTAGTTTATCCACAGGGACATATGGTTCTTTTTTTATTTCATATTTCATGTTTTAATGTACTTTTTAATTTTTGCTAACTCAAGTGCACTAAGATTTTCTCTTAAGTTTTATTATAGAAATTTTATAGTTCTATGTCTTTCATTTAGGTCTATGATACATTTCAATTAGGCAGGGGATTTTGAATATCGAATTCAAATATATTCTAGAAAATGTTTTGAAACCCACATCACTGAACACAAAATAAAGAACGTTAACTGGTTCACAAAATTTGTCTCTACCCTTTTTCTCCCAACCAGTTAAACTGAAGGAAATATAGATAGAATTGATATTTATTATTCAACCTTGTCATGCTAAAAATTGCTAAAAATTGCTAATTTGTTAAGTCCTTGTTTGTATTTCTAACATTGGTCATTTGTGCTTTTGTTATTTTATTGTTCAAATATTTTATATCGACATTTTGCTTGCTTCTTTGGTCTCTGGTGGGGATATGTTAAAATCTTCTATTTATAAAAAAAATAAAAGGAGAAAAGAAAAAGAAAACTTGTCGATATGTCAATTTTTCTTTGTAAAGGTTTTGCTTTGTGTATTGATAGGCTATGATGTTGGCCGCTAAGAAGTTATGATTACATCCTCCTGATGAGATGCTCCTTTTATTATCCGCAGTGCTCTTTATCTTTTGTAATGCTTTTTGGCCTTGATATAATTATTTGACATTATTTTTTTATTATCATTATTTTTTAACACCTACAGCACCTGGTCTTCCTAGGTGGTCTCTCATCCAAGTACTAACCAGGCTCGACTCTGCTTATCTTCCGAGATCAGATGAGATCGAGCACGTTCAGGGTGGCCTGGCCATAGCACTTTGACGTTATTATTATTGTTGTTGTTGTTGTTGTTGTTATTTTATTATTATTGCTATATTATTATTTTATTATTATTATTGCTATAACAGTGTTTACTGTAAACAAATAGCCAAATATTTCTCCAGCAAAATGAGTTTATTTGGGAACAGTAAAGAATTGCAATTTGGGACATGTGGTCTAATGGTGAACCATGTGCAAGTCCGGAGAAACAAAGGAGAGAAAACTCTTTTACAGAAAAGAGGAAGTTGGGAGAGCTATTAGAAACAGATTTCTTCCTGTTCTGCCCCAAAATTTACTTAGGGTGGGAGAGCTCCCCCTACTGGCCGCTGTACTTCATTTTAAATGAGGTTTCTGTTTATTGATTTTTACAGCAGTTTTCTTTAGGTTAATATTTGCCTGGTAAATACTTCTCCATCTCTTTATTTTGATATGACTTTGTTTTATAGGTGTCTCTTGTAAGCAATATATAACTGGATCTTTTTCTTTTAAAATAATATGTGAAATATCTCAGATGTTTAATTTTTTTTTTACTAGAAAAAAGTTATTCTGTTAAGCCATAGGTAAATGAATTCACCAATGCATTTCATTTTCATTGTTTCTTTTATTCCACACTTTCCCTCTGCTTTTTTTTTTTCATCGAAGGTTTCTGAGTGGTAAACTCTCCTCTGTGTCTGAACTATATCATCCTTGGAATGACATTTGGCTGGGTTTGCTACCGGGTTGAGAGTTATTTTCCTTCATTGGTCTCGGGATATAACTTCCTTGCATTTTGTATTTATTTTGTTGATAAGAGTTCTACTATTATCATTCTTTTGTAGAAAAATCTGTTCTCTCTGGTAGTTTTTAAGATTTTTTTGTTTTATTCTTGATATTCTAATAACCAGTTATTTTATTAATTCAATTCAGATTTACTTTGATGATGGTTAATTATACTTAACTTTGCATTTAGATGTTTTCATCTTTTACACTAGATGAAGTCTCACTGAGTCACATTAATTTCATTTGAGGATTTCGTAGACTTTGTTCCACTGTTTTTTTTGACATCTATTGTAAAGGAAAAGGTCGCCTGGGTATTTTTTCTGTTGAAGATATCTTGTTTTTTTTTTTTTTCTATAGAAGAGTCCTTTATTTTTTATCTTTAAAGTTCAATAAATTTGCCAAGGTGTATAAATTTTGTTCTTCATTTTTGTCTGTTTTTTCCTTTTTATAGGTAAGATTTTTTAAAAAATATATTATTTTTTCTCTATTTTTATACTGAGGTATAATACACATACAGTAAATTATATAAAAGCACATAATAAGAGACTTTTAAGTGTACAGTTTGATGATTTTTTTATTTACACATGCACCCCTATAATCACCAGCCAGACAAAGATATGGACTACTCCTACTGCCACAGTTGCTTCCCGATTTATCCTTTGTAACAGCTGACTACTGTTCTAAATTTTTGTCATCATTGATTATGTTAACCTTTTTTTGAACTTCATAGAAATAGAATCATATGGTATGTACTCTTTTTATGTCTGCCTAATTTCACTTAATAAAACATTTTTCATCCAAGTGCATCTACCAGTGGATTCATCCCTGTCGTTGCATTATCAGCAGTTTATTTCTTTTACTGCTATGTAGTATTCCATGATATGAATATACCACCACTTATTTATTCTTTCTTTTGTTGATAGGCTTTTGAGTTGTTTCCATTTTTTGGCTACTATGAATAAAGATGCTGCTATAAGCATTCTTGTACATATCTTTTTGTGGACATTTTACTTATTTTTCTTGAATAAATACAAAGAAGTGAATTGTTGGGCCTTATGGAGGTGTTTATTTGCTTTAATAGGTACTGCCACATCAAATAGGTCCTTCCAGAGTGAGTGTGCCCTTTTATACTGTATACTTCCGTGTACCTCTGAGTGTGTGTATGTGTGTGTGTGTGTAAGTGCTAGATGAAATACATTCTTGCCAACACTTTGAGGAATGGGGAAGGATGCTGGCTTCTTTCACTTAGCAAACTGCATTTGAGATTCGTCCATGACTTTGTGTATATATATATATAATTCAGTACTTTTTATTGCTGAATAGTACTCTGTTGTTTGGATGTACCAGTTTATCCAGTAACTGGTTGAAGGACATTTGAGTTACTATAAACAATCACATAGTGGTTTTTGTATGAACATAAGTTTTCATTTCTCTTGGATAATATCTAAGAGTGGGAGTGCTAGGTCATGTATTTAGTATATGCTTGGATTTATGCGAAATTCCTACACTGTTTTTCAGAGTGGCTATGGCAGTTTGTAGCCAGTAATGTTCGTAGCTAGTCCAGTTACTCTACATTTCACTAGGCACTTGCTATTGCTGGGATTTTTAAATTTTGGCCATTCTAGTGGGTGTACTGCTTGGTAAAATGTAGCAATTATGGTTTTAATTTGCATTCCTTCATGACTAATGAGTTGAGTGCCTTTTCATATATTTATTGGCTTTTTGCGCAGTGTAGTTGTCTTTTTTGGGTCCATTTTTTATTGGGTTGTCTGACTTTTTATTGACCTGGAGTTTTTTTTTATATTCTGGATATGAGTTATTTGTCAAATGTATGTGTCATAGCTTTCTTCGCTCCCCCTCCCCTTTTAATAGTGTTTTTTTCATGAGCAGAGTATTTTAATGATGGTAGACTGGTAATGCCCTCCCCCTCCCACGTCCACATCATAATCCCCAGAAACTGTGAGTATATATTTCCTTACATGGCAAAAGAGACTTTGCAGATGTAATCAAGTTAAGGATCTTGAGATGGGGAGATTATCCTGCATTATCCCTGTGAAATCTAAGTAGATACAGAGTCCTCATGGTGAGGGGTGCTTGGTCAGAGTCATAGAGGAGATGTGAGGACAGCAGCATAGTCAGAGATTTGAATGTGCTCTGAGGCTGTCTTAAAGATAGAAGGGGCTATAAACCAAGGATTGCATGTGGTCTCCAGAAGCTGAAAAAGGCAAGGAAACGATGCTCTAATCTCCGGAAGGAACAAAGCCCTATTGACAACTTTAATTTTAGCCAACTGAGACTTCTGATCTTTAAATATGTAAGATAATAAATTAGTTTTATCTTGTCACTAAATTTGTAACAGCAGCTATAAGAAACATGTTTTTTTTTTCATTTTACTAAAAAGCAATTTTCAATTTTTTTGTTAGAACTTACTAAGAATTTTTTGCCTACCCCAAGCTTGTGAAATTACTGTTTTCTTGCAGAAACTTTATTGCTTTACCTTTTTTATTTGAACCTATGATATACCCTAAGTAAATTTTGGAGTACGGTGTGAGATAAGTTCAAAGTTCTGCCAAGTTTCACACGGTTTTATTCTCGGGAATTCGCCATCTCCCAGAGACATTAGAAAACTCCGGACTTAAACCACCACCGAAGGTCGACTTTCCTTAATTACGCTCCTCCCGCCCCCGCCCTGGACGTATGAGCTTTCAATGGAAAGCCCGGCCTGTGAGAAACTACAATTTCCAGAAGACCATGCGGGGGGCGGGGAAAGCCCGTGGTGGGGGATGGGAAGGGAAAGGCGTGAAGACTCGCGAGAGAACGAGGTAGAGGCGGCTGCGCGAAGTAGGTGGAAGCGGGCGGAGACAGCGAGGAGGAAGAAGGGGCGGTGCCGTCCCACAATACCAGGCGGGAGGGCGGGTAGGCGGTTTGTATCCGGGCTGTGAGGTGCTCGGAACCTCCGCGGACCCCTCTGCCTCTGTCTCTTTAACGCGAGAGGAAGCGATGCGGAGGGGTGGAAAATGGCAGAGCTGCAAATGTTACTAGAGGAGGAGATCCCGTCTGGCAAGAGGGCGCTGATAGAGAGTTACCAGAACCTGACGCGGGTGGCGGACTACTGTGAAAACAACTACATACAGGTGAGGAGCGCGGGCGGGCGCTGGCTGGCCGGGCCGACGACCCGCCGCCGGCCGCCGGAGTGACCAGCCTCCTGGGCGGGGTGAGGAACAGCCCCAGCCTCAGCGCCGGTTCAGCCCCAACCCCAAGCCTCAGAGGGGGACAGAGCAAGTGGCTGGGCTCAGAGAGTCGGGCTGCGGTACAGGAAGTGGCCGTGGTGGTTGAAACCCATAGAAGGAGAGAGAGAAAATGGGCGAGGGAGCTGGGAACCCGCCGCGGCCCGGCGCCCCGCTGCCATCCGCCTCCCTGCGGGCTCGGTCCCCCGAGTCGCGCTGCCCCCCGCAGCCTGCCGTACGCCGGGCTTCCGTCCGGGGACCCAGCTGCCGCACCGCTGCGTCCCGGCTCGGAGAGGGGTCTAGGACGTAGAGAGAGGGGAGAGGAAAGGGCAGGGACGAGGCGCAGGGAGGAGCAGCAGAAGGCAGAGGAAAAGCGGGGTGTGTGTGTCGGGGGAGGGTGGGGTGGGGGCGATTATGTCAGTTCCAACCCGGAGGGTGTGTCTTTTATTTATTTATTTTAAAAAAATTTGTCATGAGTCACATTACACAGACCTCCCGGAGGAGAGAAGGAAGCGGGTGGGGGAGTGAGGGAGGGCGTCTAAGAGAAGTTAATCTCAAAATTCTTTAATTGAAGGTTTGTAAATCTGCCTGCCTGTCCGTTTTCAAGTCGGGTTTTTTCCCTCTCATCATTTTCACTTCCGCCCCACCATAGTGTATGTCTAGAGGTTGTTAGGGGTGTCGTTATTATAAAACACAAATTATTCTTAACTACTTGGAAAAAATGTCTTAAATACTCTCTTCCCCCAAAGTTCTTGAACTGTTGGCTTCATGAGTAACTTAAAATGGAACGGTGTAATCGCCCGTTGCTTATTTTCCGAAGGTTTCTCCCTTTCCAACCTGAGTAAATGTATAGACTAAATCCAAATCGATTACCGAACATGTTTATATTAAGTCTTAGAACCAAAACGTAAAATACGTTATTGTAAATGTATTAGCAAATTCTTGGGGCCTTAGCTGTGACAGATGTTTGTTTGTTTGTTTTTAATGATTGAAAGTGAATTATAGTGTGATAATTTGGTTTGTAGATCTTTAACTGCATAAACCAGCATTTTGCATTAGAAGCAAATAAAGTAGCAATCTTTTGTGTCAATACAATGGCACCAAAAATTCTCTTGTTATTGGTAAGGCGCGACCAAAACATGCTTTGAAAGGTTAGGGTTATTGCAATTCAGAGCTAAAGTATTTATAGAAATGCCTCCCATGTGATTATCATTTTCTTAAGAACCAATAGTGTCTGTGTTGGCCAGTGCTTTTCCTCCTTATTTTTAGAAGGAGATACTGTTTTCTGAATATTTTGAATATTTCTCAATTTCCATATTAGTAACATTGTATCTTCGGTAGCACTAGTAGGAGTTTATCTCATAAATTTTTTTCAAGCTTTTACTTTAGGAATTCTTCTGATAAACTTGTTGAATGCCTGCCACATCTACTGTATTTCTTGTTTTTGCAAACTTTATATTTAGCTTTTAAAAAAATATCCTAAGACCCAGTAGAAATGTGGCTATAGTTTTCAAATAGAAAAGTGACCTTATAGTTTATTGATACTAATATGTACAACTTTTATTCAACTTAACATGAAAAGTCTTAAAATTGAGCTGACTCTCCATTTGCTGAAGGTTTTAAGGATTTTGAAAGTCAAAGGGAGAGCACAGGAAGTTAAATTGCCCCCATTCCAGAAGTCATGTCTTTGTAGAAGTCAGCAGATAAGTACTTAACAAAGGGTGGCTTCTTTCTGTTTTTCATGTTGGGAAACCTGACAAATATATGGTGTAGTAACTGCTAAGTGTTGGCAAATGCAAACATGTTTTAACCTGTCTGGTGACTATTTCTTGATTTCAAGTAGTCGTCTGAGGTAAGGCATTTTTTTTTTTCCTCTCTGACCCCTTTCCTTTTCCCCTCCTGCCAGGATCATGTAACTTTAAAGCACTTTTAAACTTATCGGTAATATCTCTAGTTAAGATAAGTCATGCCATTTCTCAGGTAGTCTCTTTTAAACATGTTACTACCGTCGTGCCAAGAGCCACTGTCAGTGGCCCAAAGTTGTTTTTTTTGGTGGTCCTAAACTTGACGCCAGTGAGGTATTCTGATCTTACTGGGGAATAAAAGATGTTTATTTTAGCAGCCTTTAAACTTTGGGCTACATGATGCAGGCCACAGGGTCAGGCTCAGACAGGTTTAGAAGATGATAAAGATTTTGTGGAAGTTGATGTGGTAGCTTACTTTGTGATATGTTGTGCTGCTAACTTTGGTACTGTAATTAGGGAACAAATAGTACTAGAAATACCCATATGGAGTTCTTTTGAGATCTTTCTGTACCCCTTCCACAAACCTGATTGGGTTATAATCAACACCCTACATAAATGTACCTCTTGTCAGGGAAAGTATGTGGTTACTTGTGTTTTGAGAATTTTTTTATACCCAATGTGAGTTAAGTTACTGCTCAAGTGATTTTCATTTCTTGTTTTCTTACAGTTTGAAAGTACAGTCCAGTTAGACTGTGTTTAGTTGACAAGTCCTTTTGGCTCTAGTTCAGTCTAGTCCTCAAGTACTTTTCATTAGCTTTTTGGGTCCCATTGACTTTAATTATTAAATGTATTGTTAATAACAAAACTTCTCTAAAGAGTAAAAAAGGACAGGGTTTTCGAAATTGTTATGGGGAGATAATATTCAAAGTAGAAAGTGTTTTTTATGTAGACATGTATACAGACATAGAGAAAAGTCTTTGCCATTTTCCATCTTTTGGTTCATATGACCAGTTTGAATTTTTCTGGTAGATTATGTCAAGGACAGTCACTCAACTCGAGCACACTTATTCACCTGGCCACTTCTCTTTGCTCTATTTTAGGGTCCAAACTGCCTTTATCATGAGAATTTGGGGAATAGGAAATGAGCTAAGTTAAAAGGAATAGAAACTGCTTAAGAAAGGTATGAAAATTCCTAGGTTGGGTAAGGACAGAAAAGTCTTCCATACAGCTAAACTTTTTAATTTAATTTTCTGCCTGGAATTCCCCCAGTAAGCTTCATTTGGGTTAACAAGTATATTCTAAAGTCTGGGACTATGAAGGGAATCTTATCAGTACTTAGGTTAGCTTGCTTTCTTCCTCCTGTGATGTTAGCTTATGCTCATTTGCTCATTATGCACATTTAATCTTGGAGGGCACAAAATTTTTGAGCAGGAGCACTTTGGAATGTGTAAAAGTTAACATTTCTAGTACTGTATAGTTTACGCCACTTTATAAACAGAGTCATTTAGTTATTGCAATACTTGCATGTTTTATTTTCTCCTTTTTGTTTTTAACAGATGAGCAATTTATAGTTCAGAGATATTAAATACCTAGCCTAAAGTTCCGTATCGTAGGAGATAGTTCCTGGAATCAAATTCATATTTTCTGATTCCATATTTTAAGTTCCTTTTAGTGAATACTAGGTAGGGCGCTTACTGCAGCCTAGGGGATTAAAAAAAGATGGTACAAAGGGTAATAGAGAAGGGAAGAGGGTAATGCACAGAATTGCTTCTGTTTTGAGTACCTACTCAGTCACAGTCTGCTGGTTGATTTGCATTATCTTTAATCCTTAGAAAAATTCTCCATAGGCAGTATTCCCTTACAGATGAGGAAGTTAGGACTCAGAAAAGTTAAATGAATTTTGTTTGATTGTATAGTTAGGAATTGGCAGTCAGGATTTCTGCTTAACTGACAGGTTCCACAGGCTATGCTCTTTCCATATCACACTGTCTCCAGACTTGAATGAGTCTAGAACTCAGACTAGTTCAGAAATGTCGTAAACTCTTGTTGAGCATGTCTGGGAACCTGACAGCTATTTTACTATGTTTCTTCTGAGTTTCAAGTTGCATATATAAGAAGAACAGGTATGTTTCTAATTTGGGGACCTCCTTGGCTCACTAAAGGATGGTAGTTTTGGCATTTGGAGTGTTGAATTATAGGAATCTTAGGCTAGTTTTTCACTAAGCTCAGTAGTTCTCTTTCCTTTTTATGACTTGTGTCCTGTTTTTCTACTCTGATTCATCTTTGCAATTATGATAAAATTTGTAAAAGAATGAGTAGAAGTTAACACAAAATGTTTTTGAAGTATTTTGATTTCCACACAAACTAGATGCAGATAAAGGTAGGCAGAATGATTGAGGAGATTAGGACAGATTGGAAATGGTAGACTTCTTACAGTTGCACTTTGAAGTTTGAGTAAAACAGTGGCTAGTAAAATTAGAGATACAGAAGAGAAATCTAAATGAATTAAACAGTAATGTTCCACATGGTGACTGTAGTTACTAATACTATATTGTATATTTGAAGATTGTTAAGAGAGTAGATATTAAAAGTTATCACCACAAGAAAAAAATTGTAATTATGTGTGAAGATGGATGATAACTAGACTTAATGTGATCATTTTGCAACATATACGAATATCAAATTATTACATTGTATATCTGAGACATAGCGTGCCAATTATATTTGAATAAAAAACAAAACAAAACAAGGTTTTAGATAATTTTATGGTAGATCCTCAGGTAGTTGTTAGATTGACCCATACCAGCCATATCACACATGCTTGTTAATGCTGCTTCAGGCAGGCAGATTCTGACATTGCATATTTAGTCTTATGAAAGTCCATAAGGATGGAATATTATATCAGTTCTTACTAATAATACTCTCAATAATACTGAATATTTTTAGAACTGTATGTCATTCGAATGTTTATATTAAAACTAGTATACTCCTTTTTTTTTTTACTTTAATATTAATAAGAGCTTTACATGTGGTAGGTACTTTGATTTAGTCCTGGTGTGCTTAGATCCTCAGTTTTAGATGTTTATGTCTTTTGGAGAGGGTTTTTAAAGAAAATTGTTGAAATAATCCCTTAGAATAATTTCTCCTATGTGCTTCTGTTTT